GGCTTCGTCATGTGCCCCGCCCCCCATACCTCACCCGGGGGGAACTGCGATCCCCCGTGATCCCCCCCGAAATGACCTCTGCCTAGTAGTGTTCTGCATTTGTCAGGGGAAGGAGGAGGGGAAAAAAAGATGAGACACTCACCTGATGATAGATACTCCCTGCAAATTTGAGATTGCGAGCAAGGGACGATCTAGCATTCGGCTTTAAAACTCTATGGTACCCCCCCGAAATGACCTCTGCCTAGTAGTGTTCTGCATTTGTCAGGGGAAGGAGGAGGGGAAAAAAAGATGAGACACTCACCTGATGATAGATACTCCCTGCAAATTTGAATATGCACTCCATGGCTTCCAGCAGGTGGTGGAAGGTTTTGTCGTCATTGGAGAAGCGATGGCCAAAGACGACGGCGCAGATCACGTTCGAAACAGCGAGCGTGAGGGCGAACGATGGATTCATGGGCCTTCCTGAAACCGAAATGCATGAGGATGACATCAGGTATCCCTAGGGAATGGAGCATATTTGGAACAAGGCAAGCTTGTGAAATAGAAGCAAAGTGTTCCAGGCTGCTGGGCCTCATGTGGGGACAAGCTGAGCGGGTAGAATGTCCCAGAATGGTGAGAGGGAAAGAAGCCGGTTTCTCCTGAAGCTGAAGAGCTGAGACAGAGAGAGCTTTACCCGAGGCATGATAGAGAAAACGTATGCATGTGATATGAGCAATTACATCGAGTATCGCCTTGGAAGGACTGGATCATCCCCAATTCAGCACTCGGTTTCGGAGGCATAGGTTTGCAGAATGTGCCACTGTATTAGGGCTGCCAAGTGGGGGCGGGGGGCGGGTAAACCCCCGCTTTGGAGGCCCGATTTTCGCCGCCTGGGGGGAACTCCGCCCCCCGAAGCGCAACCACATCGATCACATTGGGGGCGTGGCCCCGATCGTCGGTGGGAAAACTCTATGGTTTTCCCTCTGACAATCGGGGCCATGCTCTCAACGTGATCGATGTCGCGCATCACTTCCGGTGATGTGCTGGCGCGCGTGCGTGCGCACAATGATTGACGGCTCCCGGAGCCCTGCGAGGCTCTCCCGCCGGGAAGTCAACTTCACTTGGCAACCCTACACTGTATCTAGTCAGCCAAGCAGACAGTGCAATATCCATGAAGACAGTTACCGAAGGCCGCCATGTTGGGCTATGGTTGGACAGCTAGATTTCAGTCCAGTAGCACCTTAGAGGCCCCGGCTAGCCCGATCTCACCGGATCTCAGAAGCTAAGCCAGGTCAGCCCTGGCCAGTATTTGGATGGAAGGCCTCCAAGGGATACCAGGGTTGTGGTGTGGAGGCAGGCTAGGGTTGCCAGGTCCCTACCTGGCATCCAGTGGTGGTTGGAAGGTCTGCGTCTGGGAGCTTTGCCCGCCCCCAAAGTGCCAGAATCGGGCCGAGTTGCCCGGCGCAATGACGTCACCTGGAAGTGACGTCATCGTGCTGGGCATGCCGTCGAGGGACGCTCTAGCATTTGGCTTTAAAACTCAATGGTACCATAGAGTTTTAATGCCAAACGCTAAAGCGTCCCCCAACAACGTCCCTGGTGTGATGACGTCACTCCCAGGTGACGTCATTGCGCAGGGCAACTCGGCCCGATTCTGGCACTTTGGGGATGGGGTTCCCCCGGCAGCTGGATCCGGGCTGGAGGGTTAGGGGCCTCTAGAGTGGGCAAACCCCCACACCCGCAGGGGACCTGGCAGCCGTAAGGCAGGCAATAAATGTTCCCTCTAAGCTCCACAGTGTTGTGAGCAAAAATTCTATCCCGTGAGTGAAAAAACCTAGTAGCATTAAAATTGCGAGCAAGGGATGATCTAGCATTTGCCTTTAAAACTCTATGGTACCAAACTGGGCAGCCAGATCCCTCCAAGCTCCACAATGTTCCCTCTAAGCTCCACGGTGGCCAATCAGTTCCTCTGGAGGGGGAACAGAAGGGCATATAGGATGAGGCCTTCATAAGAACATCAGAAGAACCCTGCTGGGTCAGGCCAGTGGTCCATCTAGTCCAGCATCCTGCCTCACACAGGGGCCAACCAGTTCCTCTGGAGGCCAACAACAGGGCACAGAGGCTGAGGCCTTCCCCTGGTAAGAACATGAGAAGAGCTGTGCTGGATCAGACCAAATTCCTCTGGAGAACCAACAACAGGGGTTAGAGGCCAAGGCCCTCCCCTGATGTTGCCTCCTGGCTCTGTGATTCAGATGTTTAGAGCTTCTGAATGTGAAGGATCCCCTCAGTCACCATGTCTAGTAGCTGCTGATAGACTTATAGCCTCAGCTTCTCCACGTCGGCAACCCTAGCTTCAAGGGAAGAAACCTGCAGGAGTAGATGGACCACTGGTCTGATCCAGCAGGGCTCTTCTTATGTTTTTATGTTCTTATATGTTCAGTATTGCCTTGGAAGAACTGGATCACCGCCAGTTTGGTGCTCAGTTTCTGAGGGATGCGATCGGAGAATGTGCCACCACATCTGGTCAGTACAATATACGCATGAAGTACAACATGCGTGAAGATAGTTTCGGTGGGTAGCAATGCTTTTCTGCAGTAGACGAGCGATATTTGAGTTCAGACATACTTTAGAGACCAAGAACAAGGGCAATTTCTCACTAAAGCTGCCTCGCGGCGCAGCCGCCGTTTGCCCCGACACAAACATGTTAATTTCACACCCAAGTCTGCGGGGCTGCATTTCGACTCGCGGCTTCACCCAATTTCCTCCACAGTTTCGTGATCCTTGTTTTTGAGGATCATGAAACTGCGGAGGGAATCGGGCGAAGCTGTGGGTCAAATGCAGCTCCGCAGCCTCGGGTGTGAAATTGACATGTTTGTGTTGGGTTGTACCGTAGGGCTACCGTTCCCCAGGTGTGGGTGGGGGATCTGTTGCTTTTGTGGGCTCCTGCTCGCCTGTGGCCAGCGGGCTGATGGGAAGAAATCCCCCCCCCAAAAAATGACGATGTGCACAACACACTGACATCACCAGAAGTGATGCAGGCATCTCAGTGACATTAAGGGGTGACATTCTGGCTTTTGGGGAAAAAACTCTATGGTTTGAGGGCAATTTTACCATAGAATTTTGCCCCAAAACCAGAGCGTTGCCCCCAATATCACTGCCATGTCTAAGTCACTTCCGGGTGACATATGCATGTCGTGTGACGTCCCCACCCCCACTTCTGGAAAAAAAACCCACACAATCCCCCCGCCAGCGTGACGATTGGACTTGGCAACCATATTGTACCCGAAAAATCTTGTTGGTCTCTTAAGGTGCTACTGGGTTTGCATCTCACAGTGTAATACAAAATTCGCAGCGAACATGAAATTAAGCGAGCTCAGGAGCACGACGGAAGACAGGAGGGCCGTGGGGTCGCGAAGAGTCGGACTCGACTGTGCGACTGAACAACAACAACAACAAAAATACAAAATCCACAAGGTGCTATCAGGTTTTCTAAAATACCAAGCACGTTTGTCATGGCTTTCTGGAAAGGGGGTTAGTGTTTCAGAAGAGAGCTGAGAATTCGTTGTTGGGGATAATTAGCCTTCCCTGGCAGAACTACCCTTCCAAGCTTTTCCTCGGGCTTGGAAATGATTAAATCAGTTTCACTCACATTTGTACAGTCCCTTTTGTGCAAATCACGAGGCAACTCAATTGCCTCGGAGGACCGAGATCACAGAGTGACATTCTGACAGCAAAAATTCCCTCCTAAATAAATAGGGCTGCCAAGTGGGGCCGGGTAAACCCCCGCTTTGGAAGCCCGATTTCCGCCGCCGTGGAATCGGGCCCCGGGGGGAACTCCACCCCCCGAAGTGCAGTGTGGCTGCGTCACCAGAGGTGACGCAACCACATCGACCACGTTGGGGGTGTGGCCCGGATCGTCGGAGGGAAAACTCTATGGTTTTTGGTTTCCCCTCCGACGATTGGGGCCACGCCCTCAACGTGGTCGACGTCGCGCATCACTTCTGGTGACATGCTGCCGGCGCACGCACGCGCATCCGGGAGACAGCTCCCGGAGCCTAGCGAGGCTCCCCCGCCAATGAGTTTTTTTGACTTGGCAACCCTATAAATAAATGTGGTAAGAAGAACTCAGATGTAGTATTTTATTTGAGATCCATCAGCTCGTTTACCGAGACATATATCTGCATCTCTTGCTCCGATCCCCAGATTTGCTCTTGATGTGTTCATGGAATATGGAAGTAGACAAGCGGATGTGTAATTCACATGGAAATAAAATCCCGTGGGCTCTGGCTCAGTGGGAGAGCGTCTGCTTGGCATGCCTGAAGACCCACGTTCACTCCTGCTATCTCAAGTTGAAAGGATCAGGTAGGAGTTTATTTTTTAAAAAAGGGTCAGGTAGGAGTTGATGTGACCTCAGCCTGAGACCCTGGAGAGCCACAACATCAGGGGAAGGCCTCAGTTTCTATGCCCTGTTGTTTGCCAACTAGAGGAACTGGTTGGCCACTCTGTGGGACAGGATGCTGGACTAGATGGACCACTGATCCAGCAGGGCTCTTCTGGTGTTCTTTTGATGGCCTCAGCCTCTCTGCCCTGTTGTTGGCCCTCCAGAGGAACTGGCTGGCCACTGTGTGAGGCAGGATGCTGGACTAGATGGACCACTGGTCTGACCCAGCAGGGCTCTTCTGATGCTCTTATGAAGGCCTTGGCCTCTCTGCCCTATTGTTGACCATCCAGAGGAACTGGTTGGCCCCTGTGTGAAACAGGATGCTGGACTAGAGGGACCATTGACCTGATCCAGCAGGGCTCTTCTGAAGTTCTTGTGAAGGCCTTGGGCTCTCTGCCCTGTTGTTGGCCATCCAGAGGAACTGGTTGGCCCCTGTGTGAGACAGGAGGCTGGACTAGAGGGACCATTGACCTGATCCAGCAGGGCTCTTCTGAAGTTCTTGTGAAGGCCTTGGGCTCTCTGCCCTGTTGTTATCCATCCAGAGGAACTGGTTGGCCCCTGTGTGAAACAGGATGCTGGACTAGAGGGACCATTGACCTG